TTATTGGAACTTTATTGCTATGAACTTTGTTTTTTAAAAAATGTCTGCCATCTTGTAAATACCACATAATCGTTCCATATTTGGAATTCACATAATACCTAATATGGTAGAATGCAGATGCAAATTACAGCATGCTGTAACTTACGGTGATACAGTGAAAGATGTATAATAATAATTATAATATATACAGTTATTGAAACTGTATCAGAGTGTGAGAAAATACAATAAAGTAACAACAAGCAACATAAACAGCACTAAAAAAAAGTTTAAAAAACAAACAAAAATTAAATAAACTGGAAAGAAGACATTCTAATATGTTGGTTGGTATAGGCAGCTAGGATTGTGCATTTATCCCTTTATAGTTGCATATACGAATTGTAACAAATTTCAATATTGTGGTACACAGGGGATGAAATTACTCCAGGAAAACAAATACTAGGGTTAATAAATATTGACTGTAGACAGCTATGATCACCAATGTCTTAAAAATATGTGATCTAATAAAACGAGAAAATTACCAGGTATTCAGTCTCTTTAATTTGAACCCGGGGCAGCTATCATTCAGGATTTTCTTGTTTTTCATTTGAAACAGTTACTAGCACATTGATCATGTTGAATGAAATTCATGTTATGTTTTTGTGATCAAGTTGACTGAGGGATGTGGATGCGATGATAACGAAACTACAATAACTACAATAATGCATTTTCCAGAAAACCGCAATTGAAGCATCCAAGTTAGACGCAGCTCAATCAAGATTGGATCCATTTGTAGAGAATCTGAAAGAGCAGAATATAGAATTGGAGCCATTGGTTGTAAATGCCACATTACATGCATATAAACTGCAGAGACAAGCCAATTTATTGGATGAGTAAGTATATACATTGTATGACACTCTACACATTAAGGACGTTTTCTCTCAGCATGCTTCATGCACACACACCTCTACCACACATGGATTTGCATAATAATATACACAAAAATGGCGTCCACCAGTTCTTGTTCTGCCCTATATATTTGCATACCTAATACCCTGACATGGCTATTATTGTGCAAATCCATGTGCGGCAGAGGTGTGTGTGTGTGCGTGAAACATGCTGAGAGCAAACACCTTTTGGAGAGTATATTTGTAGCGTTATAGACACACGGTTCATTTTATTAGGACTGTAGGAGAATATCTTATGATGCATTTTCTTTGTTTTCAGTTTAATTGCCGATACTCGTGAACTAGGTGATAAGGCTGTGGCAGCAGCAACAGCCTATAAGAACATAGCATCAGCAATAGATGATGCATGGGAAGCTGCTCAGGATGCAAAAGAAGCTGCTGAAAGTGCTGATGAAAAGGTGAGTGTAGAATTGGTATAGCACCCACAGCCAGTAGGCATACATTTGTATAGTGACATCTTGTTCAGTAGCATATAGTTGCACCTTGTTCAGTAGGCATATAGTACACCTTGTTCAGTAGGC